GCGATCCAGAGGCTGCGGGGCCGCGGTCTGTGCCCCGGCTGCGGCCTCCGAGGGCCCCGCGGGCGGTGCGGTGTGAGGGCACGGCCGCCGGGACACGGGGCGCGGGGGAACCCCCTGCCTGCGGCTGCAGCGCCGCCCGCGCCCACCGGGGGGCGCCTCAAAGCGGGAGGTGGCCCGAGAGCCGCAGCCAATGGGAGGTGCCGCAGGCAACGGCCCCGCCCCATCCCGGAAGTGCCGCGCCTGGCCCCGCCCCCCGCCGCGAGGACATGGAGCCGCCGGTGAGGGGATGGGGGGATGACGTCATAGCCCCGGGACCCCCCCCCGCCCTTCGGTGCCGCTGCCCCCTCCCGTCCCGCACCGCCCTCGCGAGCCCGGCACCCCCGACCCCGCTGCTCCGCTGACTCTCCGGCTCGGCACCACCCCGGGAACTGCCCCGGTACCCTTCTAGACCCCCCACAGACCCCGACTGCTGCAGGACCCTCCTAGGCGCCCTTGCACCCCAGGACCTGCACTGAGTATCCTGTACCACGGGTGCCCCAGCAGCTGCCCAGGACCCTCCTGCTCCGGCTGTGTACCCAGTGTCTGCTCTCCAGTGCCCTCCTGGTCCCTGGAACCCCACAGTGTCCTGGCTGTGCACCCCCGGTACCGCCCCAGCCCGGCACTACTCTGCTCCCCCCATGTACCCCCAAAATCCCCCCCGTCTATGCTGGAGCCCCAGTAAGTGCCCTGTGCTCCATTACTCCCCGGACCGTGACCCCGGCGTGTCCCGCAGGTGCAGCCACGTGCGGAGGAGCTGTCGGAGCTGTACCGAGAGCTGAGCCAGCACCCGGGGCTCAGCGCTGCCTGCCTCGGCCCCGACCTCACCACCCAGTACGGGGGCAAGTACTGCAGCCTCTACACCGGTACGGGGGTGGGGAGGACTGGGGGGGAAGGAGGGGTCCGGGGAGTCCTTGCCTGGCTGGTGGGGATGCAGCTGGTGTCCTCACCCTGCTCCCCGCAGAGTGGTCGCAGCGGGACCTGGCAAGGGCTGAGAACATCAAGTTCTGCCGTCAGTACCTCATCTTCCACGATGGAGCCTCCATTGTCTACTCAGGGCCTGCTGGCACCTGCTCTGAGATCAAGGACGAGTAAGTCCCATCCCGCCCCCCACACGTGGTCCTCGGGGAAGCGATAACTGGGGGGGCTGATGGGCGCTCACCCACAGGCTGCTGAGCCGGGAGTCCCCCAGTGGGATGCTGAAGGCCGTCCTGCGCAAGGTCCCCGGCAAGGAGAAGGAGAAGCAGTTCCTGGAGGTGAGGAGGGTTCCCAGGGAAAATGGATATATTCACTGGGGTTCGGGTTGGAACCACACCGTGCCTTGGGACCGCCCTGGCATCTCTGCCCCCAGATCTGGGATCAGAACCGGAAGGTGAAGAGCATCGACCTGACAGCACTGGACAAGCATGGCAGCGTCTACGATGATGGTGAGGGGCTGGGGGATGCCAGGGAATGTGGGTTTTCAGGGGACAGGGTGGCCAGTGCTGACCTGCCCCCGCAGACCAGTTTGGGTGCCTTGCCTGGTCTCACTCGGAGACCCACCTGCTCTATGTGGCGGAGAAGAAGCGTCCCAAGGCTGAGTCCTTCTTCCAGAGCAAAGCCCCCGAGCTGGGCACCTCTGATGAGGACACGGGGCACCCCAAGAAGGAGGATGCACCCATCAAGGTGGGGTCTCCGCACCCTGGGTCAGCTGGGGGCTGGCTGTGTGGCTGTGGGGCTGACCAGACTGTGCCACAGGGCGAGCAGTTCGTGTACCACGAGGACTGGGGCGAGACGCTGAGCACCCGCAGTGTGCCCGTCCTCTGCGTCCTGGACATCGAGGGCAACAGCATCTCGGTGCTGGAGGGCATCCCAGAGCACCTCTCTCCCGGCCAGGTCAGGATGGGGAGCTGCAGGGAACCAGAGATGGGAGGTTTCAGGAGCCAGCAGCATTTCGAGCTGCTTAACTTCCCTCTCCCCACAGGCTTTCTGGTCACCTGAGGACACCGGCGTGGTGTTCGTGGGCTGGTGGCACGACCCCTTCCGCCTGGGGCTGCGGCACTGCACGAACCGCCGGTGAGTCCCTGCAGGGCACCCCACAGCCCAGCCCTGCTGGTAGGACCCTGCAGGGCACCAGTCCCACAGCCTGGCCCCCCAAACCCAATGTGACACCCCTCTGTGCTGGCAGGTCAGCGCTCTTCTACGTGGACCTGACGGGCGGGAGATGTGGTAAGCAGTGCACGCCCCGATCCTGTTGGTGCCCTTGCTCCCATGCCGCCCCTTACCATCCGCTCACCGTCCCCTCACCGTCACCTCATGCCCATGCAGAGCTGCTCTCTGAGGACACCAAGGCCGTGTGGTCACCACGACTCAGCCCCGATGGCTGCCGCATCGTCTACCTGGAGAACAATGTCCTGGGCCCCCACCAGCAGTGCAGCCGACTCCGCATGGTGAGCAGCACCAGGGGGACACTGGCAGGCACCAGGGAGGTGCCATGGTGCCCATGCTAGGGTGGGGCTGGGGAGGGCAGTGGTGTCCCCTCCTTGGGCTGCAGTGGGGGCAGGCAGGCTGAGACCCTGCAAAACTTGCCCTATGCCATGTCTCCTGCAGTACGACTGGTACACCAAACACACCAGCACGGTGCTGGAGGCTGTGCCACGGCAAGCATGGGGTGAGTACAGCTCTGGGCGTGTTGGGGGAGACTCAGGGGGATGCTGAGTACTAGCACTCTGATCACAGGTGCCTTCCCGGGAATCTACTGTGGCGCACTGCCAGGGATGTGCTGGGCGGCCGACAGCCGCAGGATCCTGCTGGACACGGCCCAGCGCAGCCAGCAGGTGAGGGGGTGGTGGGGGACACAAGGGGAGCCTGCCTGGGTCAGGGCTGCACTGAGCTCTGCCCTCATGCCCCTAGGATGTGTTCGTGGTGGACACAGCAACAGGAACCACAACTTCGCTGACAGCTGGTGAGTGAGGGCAATGGGGCCATGCTGGTGGCAGGAGTGGGGAGAGGGTCACACCTGCAGGTCTGACCCCCTCCTCCCCAGATTCTCCCCAGGGAAGCTGGTCTGTCCTCACCATCAGCCGGGACCTCTTGGTGGCCAGGTTTTCCACCCCTAGCTGCCCCCCCATGTTGGTAAAGTCATGTCCCCAGTGCCCACCAGCCCCTTGGCATGGGCACTGACCCCTCTCCCCAGTGCCCACCAGCCCCTTGGCATGGGCACTGACCCCTGTCCCTGCACAGAAAGTGGCAGTGCTGCCCGCCGCCGGCCGTGAGGCACAGACACAGTGGATCTGCCTGCAGGCTTCCCCCCCCGTGCCTGGCATCAGCTGGGGCATCCGCACCCTGCAGCCCCCACCAGAGCAGGAGCATCCCCAGTACGGTGAGTGCCCAAGGTGAGGTCAGGCTGTGCTCCACCATCCTCACTGTTCCTTGACACCCCCTCTGTGCCTCCACAGGGGGCCTGGACTTCGATGCCATCCTGATGCGCCCAAGCGAGGGTCCCGCTGGCCAGAAGCCCCCCTTGGTCGTGATGCCCCATGGTAAGAGTTTGTCCCCACCCCACTGTACCCCAGCCAGGCAGCGTCACCCCCCTGTTGCTTTTGCCATTTGCAGGTGGTCCTCACTCTGTCTTCACGGCCGGGTGGATGCTGTACCCGGCGGCGCTGTGCCGTGTGGGCTTTGCCGTGCTGCTGGGTGAGTGACACCAGGGCTCTGGTGACACAGCACCCATGGAGGGGCTGGGCTGGGGGCACGAAGGAGGAAAGGCTCTGACACTGCTCCCCATGCAGTGAATTACCGCGGCTCGCTGGGCTTTGGCCAGGACAGCGTGGCCTCCCTGCCAGGCAACGTGGGCACACAGGACGTACACGATGTGCAGGTATGGCATGGCACATGGTCCCGGGGCACCCTGTGCTCCTTTAGGTGCCCTGAGAAGGGGAAGTGGGGCTGCCTGCTCAGTGGGTGTTCCCCGTGGCGGCAGCTCTGCGTGGAGCGGGTGCTGCAGGAGGAGACGCTGGATGCTAGCCGGGTGGCTCTGGTCGGCGGCTCGCATGGGGGCTTCCTGGCGTGCCACCTCATCGGGCAGTTCCCTGACACCTACCACGCCTGTGTGGTCCGCAACCCTGTGGTGAACATTGCCTCCATGGTGACCACCACCGACATCCCGGACTGGTGAGTACTGCTACCCCAGCTTCCCAGGCTCCTTGCCATCCCGGCCACACATGTGCCCCCAACTCTTGCCTGCAGGTGCCTGACAGAGACAGGGCTGCCCTACAAACCTGATGCCCTGCCAGACCCAGCCCAGTGGACAGAGATGCTGCACAAGTCACCCATACGCTATGTCGACCGGGTATGTCACTGTCCCCATCCTTGTCCCTGTCCCCAACAGCAGTGCCAGTGCTGAGGCTGTGCTGCTCCTGCAGGTCCGTGCACCCGTGCTGCTGATGCTGGGGGAGGATGACCGGCGTGTGCCCCCCAAGCAAGGTCTGGAGTATTACCGTGCCCTCAAGGCCCGGGGGGTGCCCACACGGTGAGTGGGGTGTTGAGGGCTTGAGCTGTGGGGTGCAGACACAGCACTAATCCCTGTTTCCCCTCCAGGCTGCTCTGGTACCCAGGGAACAACCACGCGCTGGCTGGTGTCGAAGCTGAAGCTGATGGCTTCATGAACATGGCGCTGTGGCTGCTCAAGCACCTGCAGTGCTAAGGGTGCTGACCCCTGCTGCTGACCCCCAATAAACGATGTAGTTCAGCACCCCAGTGTCTCTAGTGGTAGTGCTGGTAGCGGTGTCATTTCCACTCCTGGAACTCCAGGAGCTGGTGGCCACTGGACCTTTCAGTGCCCCGATGTGCGGCTGTGCCGCCGGGGATGTGTTGGGCCATGGGGAGGGTGAGCCTGCCTGGCCATGCGGGGCAGGGGAGCGGCTGCAGGGCTGGCACCGGCCCGGGCGCTGCCGCCGGGCTCCTGCTGCGTGCTTTGGCAGCCGTCCCACTGCGGGCGGCAGGCGCCGGCAGCCCGGCCCGGCAGAGAACAGCCCCATGGCCACAGGGACCGAGAAGGGTGTGGAGGTGGGCAAGGGGGCTCAGGGGAACTGTGTGGGTGGGCACAGCCCCGCTTCGGGCGGTGGGCACGGGCAGGGGGTGAGCTTACCCCCGTCCAGCACGTCCCCTCCCTCATCCAGGCGGCCCGCGGCCCCGCTGCCTGCTACCGGGAGCTGAGCCGCTTCCCTGCCGTCACCCGTGCCGCCCTCAGGGCCGCGGCTGGGGGCCAGACCTTCCTGCTCTACACCGGTGAGTGCGGGCTCGGCCACCCCCGCGCCTTTGGCCCGGTGTGAGCGGGCGCTGACGGTCCCGTCCCTCAGAGTGCAGCCGGCCCGACCCGGCCCGCCGGCGGCTCCTGCGCTTCGGCCGCCACTACAGCCTGCGGCGCACAGCCGGCCGCGAGGGCCTCGCCGTCAGCCGTACCGCGCTCAGCGCCGAGATCCACAGCCAGTACGGCACGGGCGGGCTGCGGCATGGGGCGGTGTCCGTGCCGCGCACGGCCCGCCGCAGCCTCCGTCCCTCCCGCCCTCAGGCTCCTCAGCCAGGACTCGCCCACGGGCCAGCGCCGCGCCGCGCTCAAACGCTGCCCGCGGCAGGGCCACGAGCTGCTGGAGGTAACGCGGCTGTCGCTCGCCGGCGTGGCAGGAGTGCCAGTGCAGGGCGGTGGGCACCGTGTACACGGTGTGCCGGTGCTGACATCCGTCCCCCCAGGTGTGGGACAGCGGGGGATGCAGCCACAGCGTGGATCTCACGGCGCTGGGGAAGCATGGGGACGTCTACACGGAGGGTAGGGCCCCTTTCCCGTGCTCCCCGCGCACAGCAGGGGTGAGGTTGGCGTGGCCAACAGCCCTGGTGGCTACCTGGTGCCCAGCTGAGCCTGTACCGGGCTGGGCTTTGGCACCCTCTTGCCATGCCAGGGCCCTTTGCCTGCCTGGCCTGGTCACGCTCAGAGACACGGCTCCTCTATGTGGCTGAGAAGAGCCGGCCCAAACGACAGCCCCCCTGCCCCTGGGATGTGCCAGGAGCAGCCTGGCCAGCAGCAGAGGATGAGGATGAGGAGGTAGGTGCCCCATGAGTGTGTTCAGTGCACCCCCAAGCGTGCCATGTGCACTGTGAAACATGGCACATGCCCCTTGGGCATACCAGATACCCCCTGAACATGCTGTGCACCCCATGAGTGTGCCACACATCCCATGAGTGTGTCATGGACAGAGCTGTATGCCTGGGGACACCAGCCATGGGGCTGATGGGTCTGTGCCACAGGGCAAGCAATTTGTGTACCACGAGGACTGGGGAGAAGCCCTGAGCACACGAAGCATGCCAGTCCTCTGCGTCCTGGACCTGGAGGGCCTCAGCCTGTCAGTGCTGGAGGGAGTCCCAGAGCACCTCTCCCCTGGCCAGGTCAGGATGGGGTGCAGGGAGCGCCCCAGGGGACCCAGCCTGGGGCCGTGGGATGAGCCTGACTGTCACACAGGCCCTGTGGTCCCCGGATGACCGTGGTGTGGTGTTTGTGGGCTGGTGGCACACGCCCTTCCGCCTGGGACTGAACGCCTGCTCCAACAGGAGGTGGGTCCCAGCCAGCAACCAGCACCATGCCAGGATGTCCATGCAGTGTCAGCCCAGTGGGGGTTCAACCTGACTCACTCTTTCCTTCCAGGTCAGGGATTTTCCACTTGGACCTGGCCAGCGGGTGCTGCGGTGAGTGCTGGGCCCTGGGGGGTGCCTGGGCGTCCCTGGGATGCTGACCCCTTGCTGCCCACAGAGCTGCTGTCAGCAGAGAATGGTTCTGTCTGCTCCCCCCGGCTGAGCCCTGATGGCCAGCGCCTGCTCTACCTGGAGGGGGCTGTGGGGGGGCCCCACCGGCAGTGTCTGCGCCTGCGCATGGTGAGTTGGGCCTCAGGGGCACCAGGCACGGCCGTGCCGCCCTGTGCTGCCAGCACAGTGCCCAGGTGTCACAGCCTCTCGCAGTGCCTGGCTGGGGTGGAGGTGTTCCCAAGCCTCCCTGCCTCAGTTTCCCCTGGCATGGGTCCATCCCTGAGCACTAGCTCTCCCCAGCTCACCTGGCAGACAAGGCAGACGATGACAGTGCTTGATGTGGTTCAGGAGCCCACGGAGGGTGAGCAAGGCGTGGTGGGCAGAGCTGGGTTCTGATGGGGGGCTGGTGCCACCCCCTGCCAGGTGCCCATGACCCTGGCTCACTAGCCCAGTGCTCTGCCCCACTTGCAGCCTTTGCTGGGCTCTACGCAGAGGCACTGCCACCGCGGTGCTGGGCAGCTGACAGCCGGCGAGCCGTGCTGGGCACCCCTCAGCGGAGCCGCACGGTGAGTCCAGGGGATGGCAGGCCAGGGACGTGACCCACACAGCCCATGGTGACACCGCTGCCTGTGCTCTGCACCCCCACAGGACCTGCTGCTCGTGGATACGGAGGCGTGCACCGTCACCAACCTCACCGCAGGTACATGGTACCGGCCACCCATGGTGCTCTAGTGAGCAGCTATGATCACCAACACGTGTTCTGTCCCCAGGGTCATCTGAAGGGTGCTGGGAGCTGCTCTCTCTCCAGTGGGACCTGCTGGTGGCCACCTGCTCAGCCCCCCACCACCCTCCTAGCCTGGTGAGCAGTGCCCTGGCACCATGTGGCACAGTGGGATATGGCACAGCAATGTGCAGCCAGGCACAGCACGGTGTGGCACACACGCCATGGTGTGGTGTGGCATAGGGAGGCATAGTGTGGTGTGGCACAGCCAGATCCAGTATGTCACAACCTTGGCATGGCACAGCCCCAGTGTCATCCATTGCCTGTGCCCAGGTGGTGGCCGTGCTGCCGCCAGCAGGCCAGGAGTTGACCCTTGTCTGGGTGCCAGTGGAGGACACCCCAACCGTGCCTGGTGTCACCTGGAAGACCCTGACGGTCCAGCCACCCTGCAGTGGGCAGAGCCCCGCTGCACAGGGTGAGTCCCTGGGGGCCCCTGATGCACCTTGGTGCTGCCTGGGTGCCAGGAATCCTCGGGAGTGGCGGGGGGCAGGGTGCTGGGTGCCCAGGGTGGTGGCCTCTGAGTGGGACCCCTTCCCTGGCACAGATACTCAGGCTTTTGAGGCCCTGCTGCTGAGTCCCTCAGATGGCACACCACCGCACCCCCTCGTTGTGTGCCCCCATGGTGAGTGCGGGGACAGTGGGGACACCCTGGCAGTGCTGGTGGCACCCCAGGTGATGCCCATGCTGGCCCCAGGTGGCCCCCACGCTGTCTTCGACGCCCGCTGGCGTCCGAGCATGGCTGCACTGTGCCGGCTGGGCTTCGCCGTGCTCCTGGGTGAGTGCTGGGGAGCTCAGGGTCATGTGGCCCTGTGTCCCAGTGAGACATAGCACCCATGGCCCTGTCTCCTCAGTGAACTATCGTGGCTCCCTGGGCTTTGGCCAGGCCACCATCAGCTCCCTGCTTTCCCGTGTGGGTGAGCAGGATGTGGCAGACACCCAGGTGAGGGGTGCTGGGCTGAGGGTGCTGGGGGGACGCTGCTGGGAGGATGCTGCTGTTTGGGTGCCAATGGTGGGTGCTCCACGGGTGCAGCTGGCAGTGGAGCAGGCGCTGCACAGAGAGCCCCTGGACCCACACCGCCTGGCCCTGCTGGCTGGCTCCCACGGAGCCTTCATCGCCCTCCACCTCCTCGCCCGTGAGCCTGAGCGTTACCAAGCCTGTGCCCTGCGCAGCCCCGTCTCCAACCTGCCCGCACTGCTGGGCACCTCTGACATCCCTGACTGGTGAGTGCCGCGCCCATCCTGTGCCATGCCATGCCATGTCCCTGTGATACCTACCAGTGTCCCTGTGCTGCAGGCGCTACACCTCCCTAGGGCTGCCCTACTCCTTTGAGCGGGTGCCATGTGCTGAGGATGTGACCGCCATGCTACTGCGCTCGCCCATCGCCCAGGCAGCCCAGGTAAGCAGGGTCAGGATGGGTGCGGTGTGCCAGGTGTGGGGTGTCAGACACCCACTGAGGGCAGTGCTGCAGGTGCAGACACCCGTGTTGCTGTGCGTGGGTGCCCGGGACCGGCGCGTTAGCCCCACACAGGCACTGGAGCTGTACCGGGTGCTGCGGGCCAGGGGTGTGCCAGCACGGTGAGTGGGGTGCAGGTGGGAGCCAGGAGGGAGCTCTGGGGTGCTGGATGAGCATCTTCCCATCCTGTCCCTCCCCACAGGCTGCTGTGGTACCCAGAGGGTGGCCATGCACTGGCTGGTGTGGAGACAGAGGCTGATGTCTTCAAGAGCTGTGCCCACTGGCTCCTCCAGCACCTGGGGCAGCCCAGGCAGGATGGGACAGGCCAGCACAGCCCCTAGTGCCCACAGTGGTCCTGGGCTATGCCAGCCCCAGAGTGACTGCTGGCCCTGGGGACCACACCAGGACCAGAGACAGATGGAGTGAGTGTAGCCAGGGGCAGGGATGTGGGTTGGGGTTTGGTGTTAAATAAACGTGAGACCCTGTGCAGTGCCAACCCCTGTGGCCAAGGCTGTGCCTTTATTGTGCAGTGGCAGCTGTGCCAGGCTGGGAATGCCAGCTCAACCCATCTTCATCACCTTGGAGATCCAGTCAACATAGAGGGAAACACGGATGAAGAGGGCGGGCAGGTCAGTGCGGGCACAGACACGGGAGGGGGTGATCACCCCCTCCAGCACCCAGCAGTCAGCAGTGAGGCAAGCCAGTGGTCCACCATAATCGCCCTGTGGCACGAAGAGAGTGGTGGCACCCTGGTGCCAGCACCTTCCGCCACCCGGGGGTGGGTGTCCCCAGCCCAGCTCACCTCGCAGGCACCCACGCCGGCACGCAGCGGGGCAGTGCACAGCTCACTCTCCTTCAGGCGCCCACGCAGCGCCCTGTTGCACTCACCGTGGGCCAGCACTGGCAGCCGCGCCACGTTCAGCACGCTGCCGTCTGCCGTGCCTGCGGGCAGAGAGCGCGGGGCAGCGGGCATGGGATCATGGGATGCAGCATCGTGTGTGCAGGGATGCAGAGGAATGGCATGGGCAAGGGATGGCAAGGACAGGAGGATGTCATGGCAGTAGATGGCATTGCAGGGGGATGTGGAAGGGAGATGTTGTGGAAGAGGGATGCCATGGATAGGGTGATACCAGGGGCAAGGGATGCTCTAGTCAAGGGGATGGAATGGGCAGAAAAACACCATGGAAGGGAGATGCTGTCAGCAGCATCGGTATGCCAGGGATCTGGGGGTTGCTGCAGGCAGGGGATACTTCAAGCAAGGGATGCTGTGGGCAGGGAGATGGAATGGCTTTAGCAGGGGCTGCATTGAACAAGGAATCCCATGGCAGGTACCTCTGGTTTCCCCCCAGCCGGCGATCTCACAGACAGTGCCCGCAGGCACAACATAGCGCTCAGGGGGCAGGCAGATCAGGGCCACACGCCTGGTCAGAACAGCTGGCCTGTGGCAAGAGGGGCAGTGGGACACGGTGCCAGCCTGGCCAGCAGTGGAGCATGGCAGAGGCCCAGGCACAGCCGCTCACCTTGCCAGCTTCAGCATCACCAGCTGGGACTCAGAGGGGCCGCAGACAATCCGCACAATGGGGATGGTCTGTTGGTCAGGATCCCCAGGGCCAGGGTCCTTGAAGAGCGTCCCCAGCTGCACCTCATAGCCCGTCAGGTCAGCCTCGCTGTGGAACAGGGACATGAGGGCACAGGGGGGTCCCACCACCCCACGCCCCAGCCCCAGCCTTACCAGGAGAAGAAGCACTGGCGTGTGCTGATCACCCACTGCTCCTTCACCAGGGATCCCCCGCAGAAGTGCACGCCAGCCCTGTGGGGACAGGGGGTGAGCTCTGGGGGTCACTGAGTACATGGCAGTGCACCTGGAACACCCACTCACCGGTTGCGGATGCTGACAGTCCAGGGCGAGTTGCCAGGCTGGCCACCAACGATGCGCCCCTTCTGCTGCAGCCTCTCCTCCCGCTGGCCACACTGCTCAAATGCCACTGCGTCTGTGGGCAGGGTGGGCATCAGCTGGGACTGCACCACCAGCACCCACCCCAGGGTGCCCACCCAGGACCCGTGGGCTCTCACCTGTATTCTCCATGATGGATGGCACTGTGCTGCCAGCTGCAGAGAGAAAACAGAGGGTGGCACTGGCACAGGATGCAGCTACCCTGAGGGGACCAAAACTACCCTGTGTGTGGCCAGGGTGCCTTCTAGCTCTGCAGGGATGTGGATAGGGGCTCACAACAGGGCTTGATGGCACAATAGTCAAAGGGGGTACGGGGGTCCATGGTGTAGCACCAGGGGCCATGGCTGTCATCATCAGGGTTGCGGCAGTAGTTCTCCTCCAGGTGTGCCTCAGGGTGGGTGGCAGGTGAAATCCTGCCAGGAGGCAATCACCATCATTGTCCCCATCCCCATCCTAATCTCCATCCCCATCACAATGCCATCTCCATCCCCATCCGTGTACCCACCACCCCCCTCACACACTCACTGGGGCACGTGGGGTGTCTGGGCAGCCCAGGGCTGGCAGGTGATTCCCTTGCGTGTCTTGCTGACGTGCCCGTGGTAGTGCTTGCCGTGGCCATGGTAGCACTCTGGAGACAGGCAGGGAGCGCTGGCACCCCTCACAGGGGCACCGGGGTGGGCACCCAGGGACAGGTGTCTGGGGTGGCTCACCTTGGGCATCCTGCTCATCAGGGCAGCGGCGGATGTGGAAGCAGAAGGCGATGCGGATGGTGGTGCGGGAGGTGAAGCACCACGGTGCCTCTGATCCGTCGGGGTTGCGGCAGTAGTTCTCCTGCAGGTCCCTGGAGGAGGGGCCACATGGTTGTCCCCCCTCAATCCCACACTCCTGGGTGCTGCCCAGCACCTCCTGGGGTGCACAGCCGTCCCCTTACTTGCACGGGTACTTCTCGGGCAGGAAGTGGTGCTTATGGGGCACCTGGGAGTCCCAGCGCTGGCAGGGGATCCCCGACACGGTAACGTTCACTCGGCCACGGTAGCCTTCGCCCTTGCCCCTGAAGCAGCCGTTGGTGATGTTGACAGGCCGTGGGCGTTTTTCTGCTTGTGTGGCCAGAGAGAGGGGCACAGTAAGCAGGGTCAGGGGTGGCACCAGGACCCTCAGGCCTGGCTGTGCATGGTGCTGGTGGGGACTTACTGCAGACGCGGATGTGGCAGTACTCGCGCTCCCGCTCGGGGTCGGTGGTGTAGCACCAGGGCCGCTCGGAGCTGTCAGGGTTGCGGCAGTAGTTGTCATCCAGCCCCTTGTCAGGGTACCTGGGCCAGAGACAGGGAGCAGCAGCTGAGGTGGCACCATCACCCCAGCACCTGGCACTCAACGAGGACAATGCACTGCGGGGGGCTGGGGGCTAGTACTTGTTGGGGTGGTAGGGGTGTTTGTGTGGGTGCTGCAGGTCCCAGCGCTGGCACTCCGTCCCTGACTCGGTGTGGTCCACGGTGCCACGGTAATCCTCCCCGTTGCAGGTCATGCAGACAGCTGCCAACAACTGCAGGGCTCAGTGTGGGAGAAACACAGAGCACAGGGTGATCCTGGGATGTGGCACCCACCATCCTCACACTTCTTTATGCCGCAGCTCTGGTGCCGGACATTGGGATCAACGGTGTAACACCACGGGCCCCGCTTGTCCCGGTCAGGGTTTCGGCAGTAATTCTCCTCCAGCCCATTGCGAAGGGATGGCAGAAACCTGCTGGCAGCAGAGTGGGTAGGAGGGCTGACAGGAATCCTTTGCCCTGGAGCGGGCACAGCAAGGATGATGCACTACCCCTGTCAGCGCCATTGCCCCAGGCTGTCCCCATTGCTCCTGTGCTATCCCACGCTGCTCCCACCCCGTTCCCCATTGCCCCAGCTGCCCAGGGTAGGTGCCACGGGACAGCCAGGGACACGGGGGCACCTGTGATCATGTGGTGTCGTGGCTTGCCAATGCTGGCAGCGCAGCCCCTTCTCCGTCGTGGCCCTTGTGCCGCGGTAGCCGGAGCCATCGCCCACGATGCAGTCCCGCATGTAGTCTGAGCAGAGCCGGGCACCTCTTCAGAGCCCCAGGGCCGGGTCAGGGCACATGGGCAATGAGGAGTCCTGTGCCGGGTGGCCTGTGCCCAGTCTGTGGTGTCCCCATGCCCACCCATGGCACCAGCCCACCTTTCTTCTGGTACAGGTCATAGCGGATGTTTTTCTGCAGCTGGATGCGGGGTGAGTGCTGGGTCCAGGGCAGCAGCTGGCACAGCTGGCTCTGCTGGTCATGGTGGAAAGCCCTGGAAGGCACAGCGGGAGTCTGGCATGGCACCGTGTGAAGCCAGGCCCCGCGGGACCTGGGTCACACACGTGAGCACCCAGTGTCCAAGTGCAGTGACCCAGCGTCATGGCCCGTGCACTCCCCCCTGCCCCGCGGTGGCACCGTGTCCTGCTCACCGGCACGCCAGGCTGGTGGCACAGCGCTGGGCACACTGCTCCACAGTGCCCTGCTCCGGCAGCAGTGGTGGTGAGTCCACAGGCACTGCCAGCAGCTCGGTGGCTCGCAGGCGCTGGAAGTCATTGAGGGGTGAGCGGTGGCCTGGGGAGGGTGGCAGGAGCTCAGTGTGCCCGTGGGGGCACAGCATGAGCACTGCGGCCCTGTGGAGTGCTGGATCCCTGCCCCATGGAGGAGGATATCCCTGTCCCACAGAGCATGGGATCCGTGTCCCATGGAGGAGGGGAAATCTGTCCTATGGAGCATGGGATCCATGTAATATGGAGCAGGGGATCCCTGTCCTATGTCCTGATCCATATACCCTGGAGCAGGAGGGTCCCTGCCCTGCATCACCCGCTGCTTCCGGCACCTCCCGTCCGCCGTGGGACAGGGCATGGCCTGCAGGCTCTGTCCGGCCGCTGGCCCCGCCTTGGGCCCCGCACTGCCCGCGCCCTCCAGCCCCACGGCGACCCAGCCTGGGGCCCTACCTGAGCCCAGAGCCGCGGCCAGGGCGAGCAGGAGCCCCAGCACGGGCTGCATGGCGGCGGCCCCGCGTCCCCGGGCCGCTGCAGCTCTGGGACGGTCCCGAGCAAATATTTGCGGTCGGGCGCGGGGCCAGGCGGGCCCGGGGTCACCCCGCGGCGGGCACGCGTGGGGCGGGGGTGGCTTTC